GTATGATATTCAAGAAAAGAATGCTGAAATTCTTTTGGGAAGAATGCAACACAGGATTCTCTCAGATCACCAAAGTGATACATGAAGTCCAACAAAGACAGAACTTGAAGCTCTCAAAACGGCAATCTCAACTACGATACCATCTACAACTTCAGATCAACCAGTAAATCATTCATCTTTTGAAGAAATTAGAGGAAGTGAATGAGAGAAATAAGCGGAAGAATAATTTAATTATATTCAGTATTAGCCGAACCCGGGCAGACGTCCTGCCTCTACGCACCTCTCTATATATAAAAATGGATGCCTGAATGTGTATGTAATCAAGAATGTAACATGTTCTGGGGAAAAATTAAAGATGAGTCATACAGAATTGATGAAAAAATATATAGACTTTAATAGCAATATTTGAACGAACATCAATGAAAAATATTTTTGCTATATGATGAAAGGAACTTGTGATAATAAAACTAATCTATCATAACGCGAGTGGATACACTCGCTGGTCTTCTCGTTTGGTGCATAGATGTATAGAGTTTTTGGCATTCCAACTCGGGAGCAAGCGACGTAGAGTTGACCATGAGAAAAACATGGATTTTCTAAACTCAAACCGGCAACTTACAGCGACTGTCCTTGGGATTTGTTGATTGTCATTGCAAAAGCGAGACGCACGGGAAACTGAAGTCGCTTGAATGTGAAGGGCAAATCAGTGGGGATCATTGGAATGCGCGGAATGAGCACATCATCTCCTTTAACATTTGCCACTGATTATCGTCGCTTTAGTCACATTCGGCATCAACTTTTTTACGGAAAGTCTGGTTCCGTTGCACAACTTGGGTGTGTTGAGATTCCGAAGAAGCAATATTGGCGAGCCAACTTTCAACATTAATACATGCGGTGGCATTCCAGGAGACTCCAATGAATTAATAATAATAATAAATGGGCTTTATTCATTGACATACATTGTTTATAAAGAAGAAGTAAATACAAACATCAATTTGATTTGGAAAAGCCCNCATTGCTCGGATGAATAGTATACACTCGCCCCAATGCGCCAGTGGAAAACACCAGAGCCATTGAAGAATGCCGCATGCCTTGTTTTCTCCGTTGCCACTTTTTCGTTGACTGATTCCATGTGTAATACGTCGGAACCTCATGATACAGCCATGTTGCAGCGAATGTGTCACTAGCGCACAATTGAAAAAATGCAGTCAACGTTGTATTGGATGGATTTTCAGTTCGCTGGGCCGCACTCTCTTCTGTGAAGTATACCCGTTGACCATTTTCCAAATGCACACTGAGATGGACGACAGCAGGAGAGCGTTCGTGGATGTCAAAGCCAAGGATTCACCATACAGCTTCGTTGCTGCTGATATAAAGTCCCATTTGAAACTGGTCGATTTCATTGACGGGTGCATTTGGATTCTGAAGTCCAAAAACTTCCATATCACTGCCCTTATTCACGGTTTTACAAATGTATTTAATCGATTTCACAGAATTGCAATACTCCACGTTGATATGCGCAAAGGAGAGTAAGGCACAATCCACCGGTTATCAACTTCAAAATCAACGTGATTGAGTTTGATTGTTGCTGTGTGACCATCTTCCTCTGGTTTTCGTCGTCTGTACTGAGGATAACCGTCGCCACCAGTTTGTGTGTCATGCACCAAGTCTCTTGGATACTTTTTGGTGCATTTGCCGTCCTTCATGCACGGTGAATGTGGGTTTTGCGCTCCACACGGTCCGTGAATAATATTTTTCTTGATAATCTGGTACAATTCAGGATCTTCTTGTTGATCAGGCAGCTCAGCAGAAATGATATTATCGATTTGAGTTGGAAGAATTTTTTTCTCCAACCAAATCAGGATGTGAACATGTGGAAGGCCTCTTTTTTGCCATTCGACAGAATACATCCAGCAGCGTGTTGGACCGTATATATGGTTCTTAACGATGAGATCCATAAAACATTTCAATTTCTATTTGAAAACTCTCGCTGTGAGGTCATGCCTCGCTGTGAGGTCATGCCGATGAGATTACTGTTGGCCAGGCAGAAGTAGATTTTTTATTTCGGGCCATGCTGGATTGCAAGTAAATGTGACGAAAGATCTGGACGTTTATATTTGCGAACATAAGTCATAGCATCCTGAGCATATTCATGCATATGTCTCGGACTTCCAGTGTACGAAGCTGGAAGTATGACCATTTCCCTAATGTTCGCAGCAGCAGCGGCTCCATCATTCGCAATTGCATCCCGCAAATGGATGTATTCGTCAGCTCAAAGCTTTGACTGATTGAAGCGAATGTAGTTGAGACGTTCACTTTCGACTTTGGCATACATGTCAACGATGAATCAGGATGTGGTTGGATTCTTGGGCTCGAATTATGATGCGATATGCATAGAAGTCCATACAGCTGACTCTTTTCGTTGTCACGGCGCCTGGGACAGGATGAACTTGATACAGTTCGAGATGATATCCGAATTCACCGCGCGGAAAGAGTATTGGATATTGAAGGGCGTCGTACGTTCGATGCGTTCCAGCAACACGGTACTTGGTTCCATCTCGTCTGCAGATAACAATATCTCGTCGGGCGATCTCCGTACCGACAATCACAGCTGCTACTTCAGGAGTCATCGGAGCATTGAAGCGTCGTTCATGCTCATTCAACGACGTTTTGTCTGCCCTGATGATGACTTTCATATCATCCGCTCGCATATTCTCCACTGCGGATTTGAAGTCTCGTACCAAACAGTTGTGCTCGTGGAATAGCGCTTGTAATTCAGCGATGATTGCCCGCCTTGTTGCTTCACTGAATGCGCATCGTCGATCAATCTCCTCCTCCACGTTGTTCATGAAATAAATCTGCAAACACGTCGGATCTTCATTGGGTACTGGAAGAAGTGATCCAATGTGATGGTACACTTGCCCTTGCACTTTGAATGTGGGCTCGAAATTTACAAATCGCTCAATATGCGTCGCTCCAAACGATGCCATTTGGAAGCATGAGTTGTACTTCCGAATATGCTCAAGGAAATGTTTCGACTCCCGAGTTGCTCCAGCCACGTATGTTAGAAGTGGCTGTGGCGGCTCACCCATCGGAGGCAAATTGACTTTCCCATTGGAACAACACATCCCGGGCGTTTCCTTCTGAAACTTCAATGCATGCATATGTAGATCATCCATGTATAGACTGTTGTATATTAACAGAAATCAGGCTTATACTCTTAGTTATTGTTATATTCAATAGAAACAACGTGCTACTTTGATACTCTGTATTCAACTAACTTTTTTTCTTTACAGTGTCGCCACATGGCTTCTAATACCATGACATGTGACCTTTCGATATT